AACCGAGATGACCTGGGTTAGAGGACGACCGCAGAGAGCCCGCCACCCGCAGGAGGAGCTGCCCAACCCTCTGCTCGCAGCCTCTGCATCGGCTCAGGAACCCACGGCCCACCCTAACTCCCGGACAGTGATAAAAGCTCCGCGCGTCAGGCGCCCGCTTGAGACCAGTCGTAGGCCTCGGAGCCGGAGCTAGGAGAGTTAACCCAACCTGCTCCAGCCGAGGCCGAGGGCCGGGCCGCTGCGAGCGCCTCCCATTGGCCGCTGAGCCGGCTCTGCGCTCATTGGCGGAGGCGCTCGGCTGCGGCTCTGGAAGAGAGTCCCCATTGGCGCTGCGTTCCACCGACTGGAGAGTGGCGGCCCGGCCTCCGCAAGCTTCCCCGGGTAAAGGAGCTCCAGCTCCGTAGCTACCTTGCCAAGCTCATCCTTAGCCGCAATCTTAACTTCCTTCGCGACCCTCCTCTTGCTTGTCGCCAAACCACCTCCGGGGTTCTTCCCTCTGATCCTTTTCTTCTTGTTGCTTTCCTTTTTCCTGTCTCTCCAGCTACCGTTTCCCAACTCCGCGTTTTCCCAAAATACCCCTAGCCTGTAATCCCAGGCATCCCCACCTGCCACCTTTTAACTTCTGCTCCTCCTTGACCTCAGATCCTTCGGTCAACAGGGCCTTCTCGCCAGACCCCCCTACACTCCTCTTTCTCCTCTCTTTGCCACCCTCTGAACCCCAAGTTCCCTCTAACCTTATTTCACTTCTTGACATTTGACCCTGACACTTTAACTCTCTAAATTTCTACCTGTTGCCGCCTGGACTGCAAAAAGCCAGGTGTTACTCTGATATCCATCCCTGCTTTTGGAGGCCTTTGCTACCCCTACCATGGACTTCTTGTTGAGTGGTATGGCAGCCTGCGGGGCCTGTGTGTTCACCAATCCCCTGGAGGTTGTGAAGACCAGAATGCAATTACAGGGAGAACTGAAGGCCCCGGGAACCTACCAGCGCCACTACCGAAACGTCTTCCATGCCTTCTTCACCATTGGCAAGGTGGATGGCCTGGCCGCCTTGCAGAAGGGCCTGGGCCCTGCGCTCTTGTACCAGTTCCTAATGAATGGCATCCGACTGGGCACCTACGGGCTGGCAGAGCGTAAGGGATATCTGAGCACTGATGAAGGCGTCCTCAGTCCTGTCCGCAGCGCTGCAGCTGGGGCCCTAGCTGGGGTCATTGGAGCCTATCTGGGAAGCCCAATCTACCTGGTAAGAAGGGAGTCTTGTCTGGGGCCTTCAAGAAGGACCCTTGGTGTAAGGTGGGAGCCTGCCCTACACAAGGGCATTGGTGACAGGGTGCTGTCTCCCTGTAAGCAGAAGTCACAGGAAAGCTTCAAGGCATTCAATCTGCCTTATACACACCCACCCAACTGACTGCAATGTGCTCATGAAGATTACAGATCTTGCTTCTGGAGACTTCTTTGAGTGGGGGTATTGTTTGTTGAGGCAGGGTCTCCCTCTATAGTAGTGTCAAAACTTTTTTTTGGTTTTTCGAGATAGGGTTTCTCTGTGTAGCTTTGGAGCCTGTCCTGGAACTCTCTCTGGAGACCAGGGTGTCCTCAAACTTACAGAGATCTGCCTGCCTCTGCCTCCCTAGTGCTGGGATTAAAGGCGTGCGCCACCAACGCCCGGCTGTGTCAAAACTTCTGTAGCACAGCCTGGCTTCAAACCCACTGTCCAACCTAGGCTTCTCAGTGCTTCAGTTAACAGTTGTGCGTCATATCTGTCTACATCTGAGCTTCGGAGTCACACTTTCTGAAACTCAGGTCCTGGCTTTGAAAATTATTCATTGGTGACACATCAATAAAACAGGAATAATTGTCAGGCATTGGTGATGCACGCCTTTAGTTCCAGCACTCAGGAGGCAGAGGCAGGCAGATCTCTGTGACTTTGAGGCCAGCCTGGTCTACAGAGTTCCAGAACAACCTCCAAAGCAATACAGAGAAAACCCTGTCTTGGGGAAAAACAAAAAATTCAGCAATAATTATAGACTTTTGTGTGGTTGTTGGGGATTAAAGGAGACAAATGAGATGAACATGTAAAGTATTAGTATAGGTCCTGGCAGACAGTAAGCATTTGACAATATTTCTTTCTTGTTTATTTTTGGATACAGGTTCTAGTTATATGGCCTAGGCTGGTCTGAAACTCACTATGAACCCAAGCTGGCCTCTTGATCCTCCTTGCCTCTGCCACCGGAGTGCTTTGAATACACACATGTGCCACCCTGCCCAGTGATCCTGTAACTTTTATTGTCTTATTATTGCCTAACACTGAGGCTGACTTGTATAGGCAGGATGAGGATCCGAGTAACAGGCATCAGTCAGTGTAGGATCAAGAAGGTCCTGAGCACCAGAGAATTGCAGTCTCACAGTTTACTTCTTTGAGTTATCAAATATAGGTGAAGGGTTAGGAGCCTGAGACCCAGAGATGGTAGGTACCCTGCTCAAGGTCACACAGCTGTGTATTGTTGGGACTAGGCCAGGCTTAGTGCAGCCAAGAGACTGAGATGATCTATAGGAGAGCCAACTTGGTCTTACTCCTAGTGTATGAGATTTGAGTACAAAGGCATCGTCAAAGTCAGCTGAATTCATACCTCTTTGGGAACTGGGAACCAAAGAACCCATTTTGGGTAGCCTGACAAGGAGGCTGGTGGAAATCTGATCTAGAATGGGAGCTGGCATAAGAGGCTAGACACCCAGATCTTGCCTAATATGAAGTCTTAGGAAATATTGCCATTCTCCAACCTCCACTCCCCACCCCCAGCCCCAAGGGAAGTAGGATGTGGAGGGGGCAGGGTATTTTGCAGTGCTAGGAGGTCTGTCCCCTGGGACTGCAGCCAAGGGACACAGAGTCTCATGACCAATTTGTTAAGTGGGAACAACAGTAATTATCAGATTAAAAGAATGTGGTCAATGCTCAGTATCCTAGAGGAAGTGTGAGGGTTTGCTGTATTGGTCTTCATGGTAAGAGGATGACCACTTGGGCACAGGCTGAGATACTCTCTTGTCCCCAGGTGAAGACACACCTCCAGGCTCAGGCAACCTCTGAAATTGCTGTAGGGCACCAGTATAAACATCAGGTGAGGGTTCCCCAAACCACTGGAGGACCCAACCATCTCCTCCATCTTCTCCCAGCTTTCTGCTGGTACCTAGCAGCTCCAACTCCAGCCACTGTTCTGCCCAACCCCACCAAATCCCACTCGTGATGCCCTGGAGCCCACCCTAACCCTTATGTGCCCTTGTTCCTCCAATCCCCCACACCTGTTTCTCCTGCCCCATTCTCCTGCTAATGTCCTCACTTCCAAACCTCTAGCCTGAACTCTGGGTTGGCAAGGGTTAGTGGACACCTGAGGGCCCCTATTCTGGCTCTAAGCCTACAGTGAAACAGTTGTTTGAGCATCATCAGGAGGCAGTCCCTGGTGGTGGGGTGGGTGACTGAACCCCAATCCCATGGTCTTCCCCCCCCCCACCAGGGCATGTTTCAGGCACTAACCCAGATTGGCCAGAAACATGGTCTAGTGGGGTTGTGGCGTGGGGCCGTGGGCGGCCTGCCCAGAGTTGTCATCGGTTCCTCTACCCAGCTGTGCACCTTCTCATCCACCAAGGACTTCTTGAGCCAGTGGGAGGTACTGCCAGGGAAAAGGGGTGGGACAATCCCTGGAATGGGAAATAAGGGTGGAAAAAGGGAGGTGGGCCCTGGATGGGATAATGCCAAGGTTCAAAAGTGAGGGAGCAGCAGGAGGGCTTGGGGGGTCATTGACTCCTTAGACAGGATTCTGTCATCATTTCCTACCAGAAGGGGTACCTAAGCCCTCTGGACAGTCCTCCTTCACAGTCATCACACTGTGTTATCTCTGGTGGTATGGAAGCTTCCAGAAATTATGTTCCCAGGGCAGGGCCTGTCCTACTCTAAGGTTGAATGACTGTGTGGTTGATAAAATTCTTTCTCTTTTTTATAGATCTTTCCTCCCCAGAGCTGGAAGGCGGCTCTGGCAGCTGCCATGGTGAGTGGCATGGCAGTAGTACTGGCCATGACACCCTTTGATGTGGCGAGCACAAGGCTCTATAACCAACCCACTGATACTCACGGCAAGGTAGGGGAGTACTGTAGGGTTCGGGCTGGTCAGAAAAACTGGGGGTGGAGAAGTGGATCCTCAAATGCTACCTGCAAAGGTGTCTGACTCTGGCAGGCTCTGACATGCTCCTCCTGTGCTCTCCCTCTCTGACATGCTCCAGGGCCTCATGTACCGGGGGATCTTCGACGCTCTGCTGCAGACAGCTCGGACAGAGGGCATTTTTGGCATGTACAAGGGTATAGGTGCCTCCTATTTTCGCCTTGGCCCCCACACTGTCCTCTCCCTCTTCTTCTGGGATCAGCTTCGTTCCCTCTACAACACATACACTAAATGAGTTGCTCTACTATACCCAAGTCAACACCCTTTGGACACCTCTGCCTCTACTTACTATCTCAGTGACTACTGACCGATGGACTTCTCATCCACTTGAGGACAGCCACACCCACTCCCTCTCTGTTCTCTTAGGGTTGAATCACTCTGAACAGTAATTTATGTCCTTGCCTTGAATATTGCTTTAAATTTCCCCACAAGTCCCCCTGTATACTTTACACCCATCTCAGGGTTGAATCAGACACCCCAAAGTATATTTCTATTGTCATTCTTGGGTCCCTCCTGCTCCTGCGCACAGCTTTAAAGTCCCCTTTCCAAGACCAAAGGGAATTGGGAGACCCAGGTGTCCTCTCAGATTCGAAGCCACAGAAACTATGTTTATAAAGCAAGTTTATTTCTGCAGAGGAGGTGTCTTATGTTTATGTCCAGGGAAGAAGTAGACACTCCCCGCTCAGAACTGGGTCCCCGAGTCCTCAGCAGCATTATGTTGTATTCCACCATCTTTACTGGGGACCAAAAATGTTGGGATCATGAAGAGTCAAACTAGTCACCAGTTGTTCAAAGTTACCCAGGCTCCAAGGTGGACATGATAGATTTTCAGGGCCAAGAGACCTCCTGTTAGAGTTTAGGGTGAGGGAACAGAGGGAGAAAGACAATGGACCGGCATTAGGTTTGCAGGATTACAGTTCCTATTCCCTAGAGGACCTCGGCCTTGAAGGAATCCACCAGCCAATCTTCCTTCTTCCTGCTTGTCCTACCCAGCCTAATTGTCAGGGGGGCGAGGGGGCTCGGGGGAGATCGCGAGTTTCCCACCCTTTCCTTCCTTACGGGGGCTGATTGAAGGTGAGCAAGAGATCAGTCTGGTACTGGGGCAGACGAAGCAAGGCCTGATGTAGTGTGACATCCTTTGCTACCTAAAGGGATCAGAAACAGGACGCTTACCAGGATGGTAACTGGGACTACCCCTCCCCCACTTCAGGACATCCCCTTCGCCATGGCCCTCACCTGCTGGTTTTCTTTAGCTACCTGCTGCTTGCCAGAAAGGAACCAGGCATCTTGACAGCAGCCCCTCAGAGATAAGTTCTCCAAAGAGAGAGGCTGCACAGATAACACGTGCACGGCCCTAGCCCCCTGCACCCCGCCAACGTCCTCAAAATGGTACCTGGAGTGGGGGGACAGGGGTAGGGAGGGGCACCTCTGAATAACCCATCCCCACCCTCGAGCCTCATTCTCCTGGCCAGTCTTCTATATCGCCCTTGGAGTTTTCGTCCGGAATAACCGTCTAGCCACAGGCCCCGCCCATCTCCTCATCTCCTGGCCTCCCATTGGCTAGATCTCTCACCGCGCAGCCGCTTCGCCCCGCACGTGGGCCTGCAGCTCCAGAAGTTCCACGATCAGACTCTGGTCGGTCACGGGATGGCAGAAAACTTCTTGGTTGTCCGGGACCGGTCGGAGGTCGCTGGAAGAGGGGCAGGGACACTCTAGTTGTCTTGGTTTCTTCTCGCAACCCAACCGACCGGCCTCGGGGCTTCTGGGCTTTCTCACCTCACATCCATGGCCCCAGGGGGGAGAACGGCGGAGAAGGCGCCTCCGAATAGTGGAAAGTTTCTGGTGGGCTCCATAGATCTGAGACTTGAGTCTGGACATTAGCGAGGTTTTAAAGAATCCTACAAGGGCCTTTGAGGCATCACTTCCTCTAGGGCTCCAGGAGCACCCACCACCTCCTCCCGGCCTACTAAGCTCTTGGATCTTTAAGATCTGGCCACGCCCTGCGATCACGCTGACCAATTGGCGCTCGCGCTTTGGGGGCGGGGCCTTCTCGGGGCAGTTCTCTAAAGCCTTGCTCTTTGGAAGGAGCCAGGCTAAAGTGTGGGGTCTGGTTTGCTGTCCGATTTAGGTTTAGGATTTGTGACACCCGTGCACGCTTGCTCCATTTTAAAAGAGTCGCACCTTCTAAGATGGTCCTTAACAGTTGTTCGCCGAGTGGTGGTGGCGCACGCCTTTAATGCCAGCACTTGGAAGGTAGAGGCAGGTGGATCTCTGAGAGTTCGAGGTCAGCCTGGTCTACAGAGTAAGTTCTGTCTCAAAAAAAAAAAAAAAAAAAAGCTAAGAACGGTTGTTCAATTAAAGGACCTGACTAGGTGAGGTCTCTGAGTAAGGGGAGAATCGTTTGAGGTACTTGACCCCGAATGGGCTGACAACCAGACCACTAATTCCCGAATCTCGTGCTGGGAATTAAGGGAAACAACAGGTCCAGGTGTGGGTCTAGGTTAGGATTCGGACTTCAAGCCTTGACACCTAACCTGAGGATTAGTGTTCTAATCCCCTCAAATCTTCCCCAGTACACCTGGACCAAAGCACAGATTAAACTTTTGTTTTTCCTTTACAGGTTTTTGGAGTGTTCTTTTTAAGTATTTGTTTAACTTTATCCTTCTGGTCAATTTCTCCATTTATCCTTAATCCCCAGCACCTGGCATTAGAACATTATAGGCCTAATGGTATATTATTTGCACTACTGAATAAATCTACCAGTGCCAATGCCTGGGGCCCAGGAAGCTACCTTTGCCCCTCGGGGATTCTGTGTAGCATCCACTTCTCAGCGGGGAACTGAGTAAAGGGAGTCTCATCCTGGCCACATGAACCCTCCTAGTTTACTGAAATGGATCTGAGGGTTTTGTATTTGTTGATGTCTACACTGCAGTCATTTCCTTCTTGAGCCTGGCAATATAAAGGTACACCTTACCATGGTGTAAAAGTATCAGTGGAGCTTTCTTTGAGTCTTTTTTTTTTCCTTTTGGTTTTTCGAGGCAGGGTTTCTCTGGCTTTGGAGGCTGTCCTGGAACTAGCTCTTTGTAAACCAAGCTGGTCTTGAACTCACAGAGATCCACCTACCTCTGCCTCTGCAGTGCTGGGACTAAAGGCGTGCACCACCACTGCCCAGCTTGATCTGAGTCTTAAAGTTGGTTTTACAGGGCTCCTGAGGGCGTCCTCGAGGTATTCCAGCCAGGACATAGGTGAATAAACTTGGAGGTGAGAGTGTATAGGAAATGTGAATATACAAGGAGGGGAAGGTTGAGGGGGTCACAAGTAGATGGGGGTCGGTCCTTTGCCATTAAATTCTCTCTCTCCTTCCTTCTCTTGCCCCCTGCTCCCTCCCTGTAACTGTAGTCATCCCACCCTAGCCTCCTAAGTGCACTGAGTATGTGCTACCACACCCAGTTTGGACTTTTTATTTCTAACTGTAGTCATCTGGCTTTTCTCTGAGCTTTTCCTCAACTCTAAAGCACTGTCAGGATTGAAATGTGTTCATGTATGGTGGCACATGCCTTTAATTCCAATCAGATCTCTGTAGTTCAAGACCAGCCTGTTCTCCATAGTGAGTTCCAGGCCAGCCAGTGTAATATAGTGAGACCCTTCCCCAGTAAATAAACAAATACATAATTAGAATTGAGATGAGGATGTAGTTGGCTCATCTGTTTCTGGGTGGGTCTGTGACTAGTTTCACTCCATAAGAGAAAGGGTACTGTAGGCCCCCATGGGATAGAAGGAACCTGGCCGTAGAGGCCTCTCTGTGTAGACTTTTCTTTCTAGGAGCAACAACCGCTCTAATTGCTTTGTACATAGTCAAGCAGATCAAAACTCCTTAGCTTTGATCTCCAATGACATAGAGGGTTCCTGACAAGCCTTCTGTGGACTACAAGTAGCTAAGACCCCTGCCTTTCCCCAGTGTCTGAGCTCTATGACAGGATGGTAGGGAGCAGAGCTGTACCAAGGCTCAAGGCTGGATCTCTTCTGTGGTAGAAGGCTCCTTGTCATGGTAGGACTCTTGATCTCTCCTGTTGGCTTGCCATCCGTCTCTCGGTATCTGCCATCTCTTCTAGCCTTCTCAATGCCGACATTCCAGTGTGTTCAAACTCCAACTCCCTAAAAAGCAAACAGGTCGGTTTGCTGCCATTGGGTCTGAAAAGGTATCTGAGCACAGTGGGACCCTTGGACCAGCTGCAGCTGGGAGGAGGAGCGTCACAGGACAAATCTCTGAGATGGCACACAGCTGCTCTTCTCATGGTGCTGGTGACAGCATACCTACAACTGGGACAGGTGATTCTGTGCCTTAGGATGGTCCCTTTCCTTTGAAGGACCCAAAAGACAGACTTTGAGGGGGTTGGAGAGATGGATCAGCAGTTAAGAGCACTTTGCCTTTGTAGAGGTCCTGGGATGGGTTCCCAGTGCCCAAACGGTAGCTCATAACCATCAGCAACTGCAATTCCAGGGGAGCCTCTGACCTCCACAGGCACCAGATACACATGTGATGCCCACAGGTGCAGGTTCATAGTTAAAATAAATCTAAAGGAAAAAAAGAAAAGACTTTGACCTCCAGTGATACCCCACCCGGTAACAACCATCCCTTGATGGAAGAGTTAAGACTACATATTTCTTGTATGCAGGAATTTTAAGCCTTCAATCCTACCATTGGGTCCTTTGAAATCTTGATGAAACTCATGAATACTTACTAGGAAAAATGTTTGTAAATAAAAATAAAATATATAGGAACACAAGAAACTAGTTTGTTTTGTTTGTTTTTTCATTATGTAGTCTTGGCTGAACTGGAACTTGATATGTAGACCAGGCTGGCTCCAATCACAGATGTGTCTACCCTTGAATGTATGTGCACCGTGTGTGTGTGTGTGTGTGTGTGTGTCAGGTATATGAAGATGTCCTTGGAGGCTGGAAAAAAGTGTCAGATGCCCTGGGAGCTGGAGTTTTGTGAGCTACCTGAGATGGGTGCTGGGTTACATACTCAGTGAGTCAACTCTCCAGCCTCACTATGGTAGTGGAGTTTTGTTTTTCTTCTTCTCTCTCTCTTTTCTTTTTTCTTTTGGTTTTTTGAGACAGAGTTTCTCTGTAGCTTTGGAGGCTGTCCTGGCACTCACTATGTAGACCAGGCTGGCCTCGAACTCACAGAGATCCGCCTGCCTCTGCCTCCCGAGTGCTGGAACGAAAGGCGTGTGCCACCACCAATGCCCGGCTTGGAGTTTTGTTTTTCAAGATTGTCTAGATTTTACTTAATGAGTCTTTTATTTGCATGTATGTATGTTTGTGCACCACCTGTGTGCCTGCCACCCTCAAGAGGGTTCAGAGCCCCTGAAAACGGGAGTTGCAGACTACCACGTGGGTGCTGCTGAACTGGGTCCTCCTAAGATCAGCCATCTTTGAGATTTCTAAGCATCTCCCCAGCCCCCTAGTTTTGTTTGAGACAGGGTCTTACTATGTAATCCAATCTGGCCTTGAATTTGAGGGAGTCCTTCTGCCTCAGTCTCCTAAATTCCAGAATTTCAGGTGTGCCACCATGCCTCACTAAAAACACAATATAGTACTGTCAGCAGGGTTGGGGTGGTGCACGC